TAGATACAAGTTTTCATTACAATTACAGTGGAACCTCACTTAACAAGCATAATTTGTTCCAGAATCGTACTCATAATGCGAAACACTGGTTAAGTGAAACAATTTTTCCCGTAGAAATTAATGTAAAATACAATAATGCATTTCACGCCACAAAAAAATACTCAAATATTTTATGTATAACATTTATTCAAAGAAAATTGTACAATGTGCATTGTTAAGGAACACGAATCATCATCATCTTTTCTTCTAGTGTGGAATTAACCAACCTGGAATGAGAAGTAGATTTGCAGAAAACAAAAAAAATCACAAATAATATGTTTGATAAACACTCCAACGATATGCCCAATTCTTGGGCTATATATAAAGGCTATAATTAAATATTAGAAATTAATTAATTTGACTAGAGGTAGACAGTTATCCCGCAATACAATATGTAAACATTTTTTATATATTGGCCNCAGTGGAACCTCGCTTAATGAGCACCTTGCATAACAAATGTTTTACATAACAAGCAAAACAAATTGTAAAAATTTGACTTGCTTAACGAGAGATGTTTTGCATATCAAGTGACGAGGAGAGGAAAAGTCCTGAATTGTGTGCATGCTCCATCAGTATGTGTTTAGCACTCATTTCACTAGCAAGTTAGTGTTGCTCGTGATCACATATTTTTCCAAACTTGTGTTCACACATATTACTTTTAAACATCAACAACCATAGTGTGTTATATAATAAACATGCCAAACAATATGCCAAATTCTTGGGCTATATAAAGGCTATAATTAAATATTAGAAATTAATTAATTTGACTAGAGGTAGACAGTTATGCTTCCATCTCATATTAAATTTAATAATTATAAAAAGAAATGCTAACATTTAATTTGGAATTGGTCATTAAATTTAATACGAGATGGCAGCATAACAGTCTACCTCTAGTCAAATTAATTAATTTCTAATATTTAATTATAGCCTTTATATAGCCCAAGAATTTGGCATATTGTTTGGCATGTTTATTATATAACACACTATGGTTGTTGATGTTTAAAAGTAATATGTGTGAACACAAGTTTGGAAAAATATGTGATCACGAGCAACACTAACTTGCTAGTGAAATGAGTGCTAAACACATACTGATGGAGCATGCACACAATTCAGGACTTTTCCTCTCCTCGTCACTTGATATGCAAAACATCTCTCGTTAAGCAAGTCAAATTTTTACAATTTGTTTTGCTTGTTATGTAAAACATTTGTTATGCAAGGTGCTCATTAAGCGAGGTTCCACTGTATTTAACTGTTATTATTTATGTCAATAAATTAGTTTTTTTATATTTGACATAAATTGAAAATTCTGTAAGTTATTGGTTATGCATATGAGAACTTCTGTGTAAATATGTAAAAATTTCAGAAGATTTTTATATATTTCTTTAGTCAGCACAGTAAGAAATTTCACTTGATAAATACTAACTGTGCAAATTTTAGAGAAGCTAGGGTGACATAATGGGGTAGTACTTTCCATGGCAAAACTTTTCTCTATTGGTTTTTTTAAACCTCTTTTCAGTGCTTTATCAAGCTTTTTTTTGTGATTAGATATAAAAATTTGTGTGATTGAATATTTAAATCCATAGATCACTTCTTCACTACTCCCCTACTTTTCCAATTATCACCTAAGCTACAAAGAATTCACTTGTTTACAAAATACTCTTTTTGAGGAAAATGATGTATTATAATTGACAAAACTCATACAGCGTATGTACTTGCATGTGTAGCAAAATTACCATAGAACTATCCCATCCTGTCACCTGATCTCTCCTAAAATAGGCAGTTAGTATTGACCAAGTACAATCTCATTGTGCCTACTATACATTGTGAATTTTTGTTTATGCAACACTCTCCCAAATTGAACTCCAATGCAAATTGTACTCATTCATTAAGTCAACATTTCCTTAATTTATACACAATATAATAATTTATTGGTTTTAATATTCATCAACAGTTTAGTTTTGCTTAAATCATAAAAGAAAAATATAAATCAATACAAATTTTTTGATGAGGTAGAAACAAAGGTACCGATCTATGAAAATTTCTATATTACACTAGTAATTAGTAACAAATTTTAAGTAAAAATTTAATATAATTCCACTTTGATGTACATATTTTTTTCTTAATTTAATTAGTTTAAATTATTTAATCATTATTGTTATTACTGATTAGAAATGCTTGGCTATGGTCTTAATGGTTTTAAGTTTTTATAGTTGTTTAATATATCTTATGTGTAATTAATAATTTTACATGATTATTATGATAATACCAGTAAATTGGAAAAATAATATTTTAATACTTCCTTTAATTAATTAAGTTATCTTTTTAATAAAGATTATTTTAAATATTCAAATATTTACAGATATTGATGAATGTACTGAAAAGCATCCATGCAGCCAGCATTGTCGTAATTCATATGGATCATTTGTTTGCTCTTGTGCTAGTGGTTACGTTTCAACTGATGGTGGCATTTCTTGCAAAACTAATAGCAGTAAGAGATATTTTATATTAAAGTATATTTTTAAAATGCTATCCATTTGTTTTTTATCTTGAAAAGTACAAATAATAATACTTAGTAAGTGTCAGTTATTGTGTATTTAATATAAATCTTTAATAGTCTTCAATAATTTGTGACTGAAAGCATTTAACAATTAATAGATTCTTAAAAATAAACCTTGTTGTTAGATAGATAGTAATGGTTTATTATATAGTTGTTTAACAGGTAGTCATACAGATAACTTACAAACAAAACCAGTAGCAGAAAACAGAATTTATTAAAAATATTTAATTTTAGTTTTGAATAAAACAAATATAAAAATTTCTTTACATATATTAATGAAAGATTTATCTTATTATTATTTTCAGCTGTAAAACCTACACTGATTTTTTCTAATCGTTATTATATTCGTCATATGGATCTTCATGGACATGATTCTGAATTACTTGCTCGAAACTTAACGAATGCAGTGGCATTAGATTATGATTGGGAGGAAAAATGTTTATACTGGTCAGATGTTACAGCATTAGGAAGCAGTTTAACTCGCATGTGTCTAAATAAATCTAATCATGAGGTAATTTTAAAAATTAAAGATTGTTTCTTTTTTTTACTGAAAGTTGAATTACATTATTTTATTAAATAGTTTAAGTAAATGGTTTAAAATAAATTTATTAACATTAAAATGCTATCAAGTACAGTAAGACCTCGTTCAGTGCTTCCTTGATTAATGCTGATTCAATATAACGTGGTCTGCTCAAAGCCTAAAAATGGCTCAAAATTTATGTGATTCAAATTATTGCAGCATTTTATTGATTTGTATATAATATGATTATTCATGAACGTGAACCAATCAGCAAAAGGTGGTAATTCATCGTAACACTGTACTTCCTCTAAATCTATGTTTGATGTAATTTTGGAAAAAATATGATATCATGGATGCCATACGCAATATGGACTTTGCATGGCAAGAATAACTGATGAATGCAATGTATGGAAGAAGGTATGGCTGAAGGTATCCAAGGATTCTCAACGAAAAGAGCCTATCATTGACCAAATTGTCAACCTGATCGATACAGTAGGACTGGGAGATGTAGATGAGCAGGATATTTAGGAGTTACTGCAGATTTCTAGTGAGAGACTTACTAACGATGACCTTCAAGAACTGACAGATTGGCAATAGTGATTATGAAAATGAAGAACCCAAAAAACTTGATTCAGATTTCCTTAGTAAAAGTTTGGTAACGATAACCGAAATTGTTGATCAAATTGTAACGAACGGTCCAGATTTTGAAAGGAGTGCAAAAGCAAGATGAGGCATCTTGGATGCGATCTCCTGCTATCAACATTTACTTAACTAAAGAAAAAAACAGCAACAAATGACACTTGACAACTTCATCACAAAAAAATCAAGAATTTCAGAAGAGTCAGAACCTTTGTAACAAAAATGAACTTTATATTTTTGTGTGCATATGTTTTTGTGTGTTATATAACATATATTATTATGCAAATTAATATAAGAATAACTTAAAATTAAAGTAAAATTAGTTTATTTTTGGTCACATGTTTTCCTTTGCCTATCTACTGTGTTTTAAAATTACCTTGTTTAATGCTATTTCATTTAACACTCTGTCATTTAGAAATGCATCCTAAGCACTAAACCAGGTCTTACTGTATATAGTAATGTAAAGTAAATTTAAAAAAAAAAAAAACTAAACAAGTAATTGCTTAATAACAGTCACTTGTTGTTTTATTACTGTTAGTGAGCGACTTCATTGTTAAGGTATCAGAAGATGAAACAAAGATTTGTTATCAAAATTCTAAATGCAAAATTTTTTAAAGACACATAAATAATATCAAACTTATATTAAAGAAATTAAATCAAAATATTAACATTTAAACAGTCTGATAAATACATAATATCAATATAACACAAAATATGGCAGAAACATTGCCTTTTGATGTTCCATATTTTAATTGCAGTGATGTAACATTCTACAGTGTCCAATAATCAGGGAAGTTCTGAAATCATAAAGAGGATCATGAAATTTATGAAAAAGTTACAAATTTTGTTAACTAGTTAAGAATATTTTTATCTGTAATTATCAGAAAAAATTTTTCTTGTTTCTAAAAATGAATAATCATTTATACCTTAACAATAACTAATACTGAACATTAGGTATCTATTTCTTAACCAGATATTGGGTACAAAACTGTTTATCACTCAAAAATCAGGTATCTCAATACCCAATACTCACAAATATCTTTTAATGCAAATATATTCAATAAAATTCCTGTGGTACTTTTTAATATATTTGAATAGATTCATTTGTATTAAATTGCATAAACCATTTTCTTTTTTAAAAAGATTTATATAAATTACTGTCTTACTAGCAAAACTGAATGTGAAAAAGAATTTTATTCTCATTCACATTCAAGTTTGTAAAATGAAAACAATGAAATGAATATCACCTATAGTAATGGAAATGAATTGTTGGAATTAAACTGATATGCCAGACTTTATAATAATTAAAGTTTTGTGTAAGATGAGAAACAATTTAGTTTTCTCTTGTTAAAAAAAGACATTAGAAGTTGTCTTACTTACTCCTATATAAATTATTTAAAATCATTTGAAGATTTTTCAGACCTAATGATCAAATATGCATTTTCAAAAAATTCTAATATCCAGTATCAATTTAAGATGATTTGTGAAGCTGGAGAATACATTTTTGTACAGTACAAATTATTAAAATAATTTTGTTGTCAGTGTGCTTTTAATTTGGAAAACTAAATCATATACAGTAGAGCGTTGATTTTCCGAAAGTCAATCATCCGAAACGTCAATCATCCGAAAGAATTCCAGTCGGAAAATTTAAATTTTCGCCAGTGCTGTGGTGCTTCAANTTTTTAAAATTTAGGCTTAGATTACTATGTTTAGGTAATATTTCATTTGAACACTAATCAGAGAAATTTCACTAATGCCATCATTCAAGAATTTATCCTTCTGCTTCTATTCCATTTTTTTTTTTTTTTTTTTAGGTATGTAAGCAGTTCAAACACAGTTATTTTCTAGGAATTATCATATCCATAGACTCCAAAAATACTAGCCAATCAATAAGTTTATTTTACCCAGATGCATTTCAGAAATTATAATATTTTCCTCATCAGTGGGCTTTCTTTCATCATGCTAAAGAAAGTACAAACACTTTTTAATACTCTTGCAATTTTTCAATATTCTAACCGTTTTTTACTAACCACTCAGCAGTGAGCGATGAATATATTCGTCAAGGGCGATCGTGTAGCAGTGGTGAGGGATGTATATATACATCAAGTTCTTTTGGGGGTATTGCCAAAAACTAGTCAAAAACTACTGCAAAAAAAATTCACATAAAAAATGAATTATGTAACAATAAAAAAAGACTTTTCTTTACTAGATATAACTGTTTACGAAATCTTTTTCCGAAACAGTAATGAGAAAAAACGCGTAGAAAATACTCAAAAAATTTTGCACGTTTATTCTCCACTACTAAGGAGTAGCACCATATCTGACTATTCCACTGTTGAAAGGCTAATTTCCATAATAAAATTAATTTTTTCTTGTGTTGTTATGGAAATTATGTGTTTTATACTAATTTACATAATTATTTATTATGGAAATTAGTAAAAAATGATTGGAATATTGAAAATTTTGTGTGAGATTATTGAAGTGTTTGTACCTTGTTTAGCTTGTATGAAAGAAAACCCACTGAGAAGGGAAATATTATAATTTCTGAAATGCATATGGGTAAAATAAAGTTGTTGATTGGCTAGTAGTTTTGGAGTCTGTGGATGTGATAATTCCTAGAAAATAATCGTGTCTGAACTGGTAACATATTGAAATTCATTCAAAAATGATTTACCTTTTGTAAATAATTTAAAGTTTTGAAGCATACACATTTTATCATAGTAAAGTATAAAACACAATACCATATTTTAACAAATCAATATTTTATATTATATTATGCATATATTTTATGAATTAGAAAATCAGTTTTATTCATAAATTTTTTTAAATTCAGTATATCAGGGACTGAATTTATTAATACTGTTTTAATTAAATATTGAAAAGCAAAATAGTTTTTTTTTTTAATTTTGTAACCAATGAATATTTTTCCTTTTGTTTTAGATACTCCATGCCAGTACTGTTCAAAGTCCTGATGGGCTTGCGGTTGATTGGGTAGGACGAAATTTATACTGGTGTGATAAAGGGAAAGACACAATTGAAGTTTCTAAATTAAATGGACGTTTTCGTAAAGTTTTAATCAGAGAAGGTCTTCAAGAACCAAGAGCAATTGCTTTAGATCCTTATCAAGGGTAAATATTTACATAAAAAGAATTTCTGTATATTTTAAAGCCAAAAATGTCCATATTTATTCATTCCTAATAAAGTAAATTTTAAAAAGTTTTAAGTATGAATTAATATATTAATACAAGATACTGTATTTCATTAGTTTTTCTTTGTTCTGAATTGAAAATTATATGAATTATAAAACTGCATAACATATAAATAATTTTTCAAAAGTTAAAAATCTCACATTTTACTTTGAAATGTTGAATAAAATATTAAAGATACTGCATTATTATTATATACAGCTGTTAACAATATATGTTTCTAAAATGATTATCATCATCTTCAAATGACCAAATGACATGGAATGATTCTAGTGTCATCATCTGATGGAATGATTTGAATTGACTACATAATATGAAATGATATCAAGTGATAACAGTAGGATTTCTTAAAAATTAGTAAACATGACAATATGTAATGATTTTAAACAAAAAATGAAAGTGAAGATAAATAAAAATTAAAAAGTAAGAATAGCATTTACATTATTTTAACATCATTTTCAAGAAAACTAATAATAAAATATCAATATAATACTGTCTGTTCTATCTTTAACAACTTAATAAAAACCTTTATTAAATGTTGTAGGTATATATACTTGTTTAAGAAGCGAAGCCCTTTCTTGATACTCAGAGTTCTTTTCAAAACAATTACTTCTGATTCTGACATTCTAATCAGTTACCTTTATTTGAAAATGTAACTCAAAGCTTTCTCTGACTTTTTAATAATATTTGAAATCAATCTCTTTTAGTTATAAATAACTCACTTTCTGAATTATGAGATTGACAAAAAGATTTTGTTATGCACTTTTTCTTCTAAAATTTAAATATTTTTCACAACTTTGCAACAGATTAAATTCAATATATGGAAAGTATCTAAATGTAGCTGATATATTAATCAATTTACAGTGAAAGGCATATCATAAGAAGATAGCTGATGATGCAAAATGAGTATGAAAATGCTGAAGCATTTGCTATTATATGTTATAAAAAAATTTATTTTTATAGATAATAGATATTTATTTATTTATTATGCATACTGGATACATTCCTTGATGCGGGGAACAATACCATTTCCCAAAAACAAATTATTTAAATACAATACATTGAACAAAATCACAAGCAAAAATATACAATAATAAATTATATAAGAATTAACTTAAAATTAAGGTTAAGAATAGAATTAAAATTTGGGTGCATCTGTCAATAAAATAAGAAAAATAATACCAATAAATAGACAAAATAATTTAATGATGAATAAGAATATTTCTTACCTATAAAAAAGAAAATATTAGTATCGATGCAACACTGACAGATGCTCCCAAACTACACCAGCAATGAAACCAAATTTGTAGCAGAGGAATCACACTCCCTAAAACCAAAGATCAACCGATTTTTTTTAGAAAAGAAAATACTTTAAATTTAATAAATAATAAAATTTTAAGAAGAAAAGACCTAGAAAGCATCTTTGCAACTAAAATGTGGGCATCTTAAATTAGTGTTACAGGAAAAAATTTTTGATTGCATTGTAAGAACAATGCAATCAAAAATTTTTTCCCACATTTAACCAAAATATGGTAGGCATCCAAGATAATAGATATTGATTATAATTTAATCATTGATTGATGTGAATATTTCTTTGTTAATAATGATATTTGAAATTGATATCTTTATTATTGNATTATGCAAGTTCTATATTCATATAATGCAAGAATTACTTTATAAAAATTATTACCTGTAATGAAATTAATCAGCTTGAACTAACATCTTTAATTCTCACATATCTCTTGATTTTAAATTAAGTAGTAAGTTTACATTATTATTTATATAACAATTTTATTTCAGATACATGTATTGGACTGATTGGGGAGAAAAACCATACATTGGAAGAGCTGGCATGGATGGAAGTGAATTTCAAATGATGATTAATGAATCTTTAGGATGGCCTAATGCATTAACCATTGACTATGTAACTAGAGAGATTTTCTGGGCAGATGCTCGTGAGGATTATATAGCAGTTGCTGATATGAATGGTCAAAATAGGAGAATTGTTATAAGTAAAGGTATAATATTTTATTTATTATTATTATTAACAGTAAGGCTGTTTTGATACCAAGTGAATAACTATTCACTGTTAAAATCTAACAAAAATGAAATGAAAGTACATATACAGAATAAAAAGATGCATTACAAAAAAGTATACATATAAACTGTTTTATTTATGAGAGATTGAATATTCAAAAATTTTTATTTATCTTACTGTATTTTCATGGGATGACCAGCATGCCTGTTAAACTGTGACTAAAAAATAAAATTAATCAAATGTAACAAAATTAGTTGTTAATTAAATGTTAAAGAAAACATTCTTCAGATTACAATAAAATAATAACATTATAATTTGACCAAAAAAACTCGGGAAGAGAGTTTTCATTTATAGCGTAATAAAACAATTAATGGCTTATTGACACTAGTTGTAGTAGAATTTAGTCAGTGTGGGCTAAGCTGACCATATAACCTGACCTTAAAAATAACACCTTTCTCTCAAATTTCACACAAAGGAGATGTTAATCAGTGTAAATGGAGATAATTTACTACTAGTTTCTGATATTTAATATGTTCATTTTTGCATTTTTAAATTGAATTACAATAAAATAAACATAAAAAAAGCACTGTCCTCATTTCACCAGTATTTTAAATCATTAGAAAGAAGACAAAATGAAGAAATTAAACATATAATCATAGTTTTTATGTGAGGTAACTTGTTTGTTTTTTTAATGCACTCTCAAGAGAGGGATTTATAACCTCACCTAAACAAGCATGCTGGCATTCCTTGGAATAAAGCGGCATGTTAGTTTTTACCATATGGAAATATTTGATTTCATGATCTCCTCAGATAGACTTACATGCTGGACAATCCACAAAAATACAGTATTTATTCACTAGCCCTCATGATCTATTTTTAACTGACATTTTATGATGATGATGATGGTATAGATAATTAATATTTATTTCAATTTTTAACAGGTCCTATAGATGCTGTACATCATATTTTTGCATTGACAGTTTTTGAGGACCAATTATTTTGGACTGATTGGGAAACAAAAAGTATTGAAAAATGTCACAAGTACCATTGTCATAATTTCACAACAGTTACAACTACAGCTCATCGTCCTATGGACATCCAAGTGCTACATCCATATAGACAGCAACCACGTCAGTATTTTGTTTAACATTAAATTTTAAATAAGATCTTACATTTTTTCTGACATTAGCAAAGAAATATACATGTTTTATCAAAATATTGATTTTATCTGATTTATTAATACTACAGAATGAAAGATTATTCATATAAATGAAAACAAATCTTATTCTAGCATATTAAATCTTCTTTTGTTAACTTAATTATTATTATATTTATTTCCTTTGTACTCTCTGCAGGATAAGAATAATTCCCTAAGTAAATAAATGAATTAAATTAAGTAACTATAAAGGCTGATATGAACTTTCGAGATAATCAGTTCCCTACTATTTGTCATATTTCAATTAAATATTAATTTCAAACTATTTAGGAAAGAAATTGATTAAAATTAACAAAGATAACAATAAACAATTTATTGTTTGTATTAAATTATTATGCGTATAAATTTCAGATCTATTCAGCTTTCTTAAATGTCATTAAAATTATATTACAGTGAGAAATGCTAATCCATGTGAGAATAATGGAGAATGCACTACATTATGTTTATTAAAACCTGGAGGAGGTTCTATATGTGCATGTCCTGAAAATTATGTTTTGCAATCAGATGGAATATCCTGTAAAAACAACTGCACAAGGTTTGTTTAAAGCTGAAAATATTACTTTTATTAGTAATTAAACTTTATAGTTTATTTGAAAACTATGAATTTAACCTGTCCCTTGTTGTTCTCGAGTATTTTTGTGTTGACCTCGTTTGACCTAACCCGTTGATCCTGAATATACTTGTTTTTGATATTAGATGTCTCTATGTGTCATAATTTTTATATTAAAACAAACTTTCAAAATGTAATTTTTTTTGTTTTTATATTTTTCAATATACTGTATTTACTTGCTTGTAAGACGATCTCGCATATAGGACGAGGTGTGACTTTAAAGATCAAAATAAAGAAAATAAAATTAAATTGTATTAATAAATCTAATTTTGTTTAATCAAATAAAATGTCAAATTTATGTAAATGCACACATCATCCCTCAAAAATTACTGGCATTTTAAACTTTGAGGAAAAATCTTATAAAATCGACAACATAATTTGTTAATGTAAAGCTGGACAAGAACTTTTTTGTCAGTTCTTAACAGCTGAATCCATCCGTTGATAACACTTAGTTTCTCTAAATTCTGATTTCCAAATAATCATCCGTTTTTACATGAGAATGGATTAAAACTTATATCATGCTCCTTGTGATTTTGGAATTTCAATCTTGAATTCAATTCAAAAGCTTTGCTTTTCCTATTGCTATTTATCTTTATGGCTGACAATACACAAGAACGATTGAAACAACCCAAATAAAATACTTTTGTTTTTAATTAAACACCAGAGGGTGATCATCTGGTAAAAAATGCAAACACGCGGTTCACAAAAATTATTGCAAAAATGCAAAGAATACTTCACTCGTGCATATAGGATGACCTAGATTTTTGAAGCAATGAGAAATGAATAATAACCTCATCTTATATGCGAGTAAATATGGTATTTATTTTGTTTGTGCAAAATAAAAAATAATTTTAACAATATAGTAGCCACGATTATTATTTTAAAAAAATTTTTTGTTAGGATTAATATCGACAAAAATTCAACATGGAGAAAAATTTTAACATGGGATAGGTTTAAAAAAAAAAAAAAACTAAACAAGTAATTGCTTAATAACAGTCACTTGTTGTTTTATTACTGTTAGTGAGCGACTTCATTGTTAAGGTATCAGAAGATGAAACAAAGATTTGTTATCAAAATTCTAAATGCAAAATTTTTTAAAGACACATAAATAATATCAAACTTATATTAAAGAAATTAAATCAAAATATTAACATTTAAACAGTCTGATAAATACATAATATCAATATAACACAAAATATGGCAGAAACATTGCCTTTTGATGTTCCATATTTTAATTGCAGTGATGTAACATTCTACAGTGTCCAATAATCAGGGAAGTTCTGAAATCATAAAGAGGATCATGAAATTTATGAAAAAGTTACAAATTTTGTTAACTAGTTAAGAATATTTTTATCTGTAATTATCAGAAAAAATTTTTCTTGTTTCTAAAAATGAATAATCATTTATACCTTAACAATAACTAATACTGAACATTAGGTATCTATTTCTTAACCAGATATTGGGTACAAAACTGTTTATCACTCAAAAATCAGGTATCTCAATACCCAATACTCAAAAATATCTTTTAATGCAAATATATTCAATAAAATTCCTGTGGTACTTTTTAATATATTTGAATAGATTCATTTGTATTAAATTGCATAAACCATTTTCTTTTTTAAAAAGATTTATATAAATTACTGTCTTACTAGCAAAACTGAATGTGAAAAAGAATTTTATTCTCATTCACATTCAAGTTTGTAAAATGAAAACAATGAAATGAATATCACCTATAGTAATGGAAATGAATTGTTGGAATTAAACTGATATGCCAGACTTTATAATAATTAAAGTTTTGTGTAAGATGAGAAACAATTTAGTTTTCTCTTGTTAAAAAAAGACATTAGAAGTTGTCTTACTTACTCCTATATAAATTATTTAAAATCATTTGAAGATTTTTCAGACCTAATGATCAAATATGCATTTTCAAAAAATTCTAATATCCAGTATCAATTTAAGATGATTTGTGAAGCTGGAGAATACATTTTTGTACAGTACAAATTATTAAAATAATTTTGTTGTCAGTGTGCTTTTAATTTGGAAAACTAAATCATATACAGTAGAGCGTTGATTTTCCGAAAGTCAATCATCCGAAACGTCAATCATCCGAAAGAATTCCAGTCGGAAAATTTAAATTTTCGCCAGTGCTGTGGTGCTTCAATCTTTGGCTATGTTTTGGGCTACTCAAATATTTTACGTTTTTGATACTAAATTAACATCTGAAGTATAATTTTGTATTATTTTTATATTTTTCAATATATTTATTTTGTTTGTACAAAATAAAAAAATAATTTTTAACGATACAATAGTCTTTGTTAGGTTTAACATCGACGAAAATTCAACGCGAAGCGACACGCAACGGAGAAAAATNTCGCTACACGTACTGTAGGTTCGAATTTCGAAAAGTTCATTTCAGTTAAAAGTAAAAAAACTAACTATAAGTTTTTCCAACAGTTTTGTTTTAGAAAACCCGTTGTTTTACTTCTTATATGACATTATAACATTATATAATATCTCAATGAGTGAGTATTCTTTTCAAATTTAACATTAGTAATGTTCGTATTTAGGCCTAAATGTATTGTGTTTTTATCTTTTTTAATCCTAATATCAACCAATAACAGTCATTTTACTATCTCTTTCGAATATTTAATTTTACTACATTAAAATATTTAACTTTTACCTTACTTTTAATAAGTTTTAAACAAAATATTTAAAAATGACTAAATATTTTAATGTGTATGTATGTACAGTACCATACATTCAAAAGTAAATATTATTGCATATACTGTATATTGCTTTATAGAATATATAAAATTTTTCAAGATGTAATGTTAGTAGCTGTAAAACAAATTATACACGTGAAAAGGAAACTTTTTCTACATTTTATAGGTTTTAAAGTTACTGTATTTCTTTAACAGCAGATAACGATACTGTTAATAGTAAAGCTTTGTAAAATTTTATTAACTGAAAATAAGTCATCGCTTCCACATCCTTTAGAGTTTGAGACACTTATTTTTTATTTTTGGTTCTGTTCGTATCATTGTGTGTTGGCCTAACTAATAGGATAACTAAAAGATCTGAAAATAAATCCATTAAATTTCCTGACATGGATGAAGATAATAATTAAAGAAGCACAATTTAAACATCTGGAAATAATGTATGAACTGGAAAAACAATCTTTAATTGTAAATAAATGCCCAAATTTCACTAAAGTATTATGTCCATCTAATCTTTAAAAACAAAATGTTAAATTAACATTGCGAATATTTAATGAAAAAATATTTCTGCTTTGAGATGTATTGCAAGCAATAATCTCAGCATGTTTCCCAGATATGAAAATACATGCACTTTTTTGCATATACAGTGCATTCTGCTTAATTGGGACACCGGTTAATTGGGGCAGCTGCTTTATTGGGCCAAATCTCAAAGAACGAAAACCAAACTAATAAATTAATACATAATTTAATCACTTAATTTGTACAGTAGCAGAAAAGGAATTTAGCAATTTTTGATATATTTTAGTAATCTTCCGAAAATATGTAGACAACTATGTACACTAATTTCATGTAAGCCTAATGGTTGGCAGAGACAAAATGATTTTGTCTTTTGCTCGGACAGTTTGGTTTTTCTGAAGGAGGTCAGCATAGCGGGGTGTGTGATATGCCCCGCTATGCTGACCTCCTTCAGATTTTATCTGAAGTGGACCTGAATGCAAGTTACTAACCCTGCTCTGGATTGAACCAGATGATCCCCTCAAAAGTGAAGGGACAAAGATCGCCATACAGTTTTTTGAGGTCTCTTGACTGAGTTGGAAGACAGCTAGAGTTTCCTTGGAAACTATTGTGTGCATAGTTACGTCTGCATTCAGATTGCAGCCATCCAATTGTTGAGACCAGCATCGAGCTGGTGGATTTCGTGGACACTCCTGCTGAAGTGGCCCATCTCCAAGTAAAGGAAACTGTGCTCAAAGGAAAATCATAAAATGACTTTTGGACAAACCCTTTTTTCCTCCCTTTTTAGTTAGAACATGTTCTAACTAAAAAAGAAAAAAAAAATAAGGAAAAATTGTTCAATCAGAAATGGATCAAATGGTCAACCTTCGTTTACATCACTACTAATATTCGGCAACACTAGTATTATGCAAATCAGTTATCTATAGTCATGAGTCTGGCAAATTTATAGTACAAATATTTTCTGTATTTTGGTTTAATAAAGTGTTAAAATAGGTACCTAATTATTATTTTTTACCTACTTCTTTATCTACCTACGTATTACATATTTTATTATAGAATTTATTATTAGTTCATTTAATTGGGGCAGCAGCTTAATTGAGCCAAAATGGATTAGTCCCAATGTGTCTGAATTAAGCGGAATTTTTCTTAAAATTCTTCCCTAAAGATAAGTTAAGGTTATTAAATTGGTGTTGTGATCATGAATTTTTTATTGGAATCCACTCTACACAGTAGAGAGTCAATTATCCAAAAAAACCTATTAACTAAAATTGACTTTAGAAGTTACTAGTTTCAGAAATTATGAAGTTTTTATATATTAATAATTGTTGTTGATCTTCTATAGCTATCTTGTTAATTTTATTATTATATATTTTTTATTTTGAATTCAAAGTTTCTTCAGTATTTTGTAGATTGCAATGAAAGACTACTTTTTTTTTTTCATAAAGTAGACAATTTTTTCATTAGATAATAAACATCTCTAAGCCCAATGAGTATACAGGTAACCCCCGTATAACATGGCATTTCTATAGCACAGATTTGCTCTAACATGGTTCGAGAATTGGGAACATCTCCTATATAACACGGTGGTTTTATAGCACGGGTTCACTCTAACATGGTTCGGGAATTGGGTAAAACCCTCATACAGCATGAAATGTAATAAAGGGTGCGTTCTTTTATACTTCCGCGTAACTCCGCGCGAGCATTCTAATTGTTTTCCTGGCTACATTGAATGCTCTTTCAACAAATAATCCATTTAATAGTTAAATTTTACAATTGGGACCCTTCTTTTGCCTCTAAAAGATCATTTTAGAATTATAGATTCTTCCATCGTTCCTAAATGCCTACAAACAGCAGCGCACTCTTGTTGCAGAGCGACCGCTATTAACAAATGCACCCAAAAACTGTTACCAGTTGATGATGCTCATGCTGAGATCATCATATAGGATGAATAATCCTCTGGTAAAATATTTACGTAAATAATAAATAAGTATTTTACCTATGAAAAAAAATGAATAGTAAATCTGATTTAAATAAGGATTTAACAGCATGTTTTTTAATTTTTGGAACCTAACCCCCCTTTTCGCACTAGTTCTTTGTTTCGTATAACATGGCAATTTCTTGGAACGTAACTCCTGTGTTATACGGGGGTTACCTGTATAATGAATTACCAATGATTGCCTTTAAGATCAGGCTATAATTTGGCTAATTAAATGATTAATGTAAAGTAAATTAATTTATTAAATTCTAAATTATTTATTAATTTATTAAAAATTATAATTATTAATTTAGTTAAGAGATGTGCCTAATGCCTCACTCTAGTGACAAATTACTTTATATTAATTATTTAATTAGCCAAATTATAGCTGGATCTTTAAGGTGATCGTTGTTAATTCATTATTTTTTCATCATTTCCAATTGTTTATATGCACTAACTTTCTATGCCTTAACCTTTTCTTTTCTTTTACTATTTTGTAAAATTAAATACTCTAAACAGCTTTTTCAACAATATGTGCATGTTATTATTCTGTTTCATTGGTAAAAAAGTTTTAGAAACAACAGAACACTATATACTGTCTGTATTGTACATGTGATTGAAAAAGCTGTTAACACTAAATTTTCATAGAAAATTATGGAATAATAGAGACACCACCACCACTACTTAGATGTTCATAGACTCTGTTGTGGTAGGTTACGTTGAGACCAAGTATAGATAATACCTATATTATAGTTATTAGAAAATTTATTAACAAGATATATATTTTTAAAATTTATTTTTTGAGAATTTAATTTTATAACAGCTAATCGAACATGCCCGTCAAACTATTTTCGATGCAAGTCTGGTCGTTGCATTCCACTTTCATGGAAATGTGATGGTGATTATGACTGTACAGATAAAGATGATGAACCTGCATCTTGTAATGATTACACCACTTGTCAATCAACATACTTCAAATGCAAAAATAATCGCTGCATTCCAGGACGATGGCACTGTGATTTTGATAACGATTGTGAAGATAATTCAGACGAAGAAAATTGTGGTAATTAGTTTTTCTTTTAAAAATTATATTTGAATTTTAAATTCCTTGAAGTTTTATTTTTATATCAAATTCCATAAATAGGAATAGATAAAAAAAATTATTTTGCACTATTGTTAAATAATACTGGCAGTGAACAAGTTAATTTGAAGTGTTTTTAATATTTAAAATATTCTCTAAATTTATTAATTGATTCATTATACTTGTATAATATGAAACACATTAATGGTCGCTTCATCTAAACACTTAAAATCAATATATAAATCTTTATATCATTACTACTGTGCTGGTTAGTGAGTCATATTTGTCTACAGATTCTCAAAGAATATTGTATAATATGTAAATTTGAATGAACGAGGTTTTATGATATGCCTTTCTTATAACATAGGATGAGCTTTAACATCAAATTTACTGTATTGTTACTTGTTTTAAATTCTATGATATGCTACATGCCCAATTTATTAGAATTACCAAATAATCTGGATTTTTTTTTAGTGTGAATATAGCCCAATAAAAAAATGAACCCAGCAGACCATTTAGTTTTTAATTTATTTATTTTAGAACTGTAAACAGTGAAAAAATATGGTTCTTTCTCACAATTAATTTTTCACTGTTTAGTCCTGAAATAAAAAGAAAAGATTAAAAACCAATTAATAATTGATACTTTAATGTATGAAAAAAGTTTGTTACTTATGCATCATTCTGTATTCTAAATGCTTTTTCCATCTTTGAATTGTTATATTTGAGACTTGACTGAATTGAAACTAAAATATGACATAAAAATATTGTAAAACATGATTATTTTTAATTTAGAATTTTGTATAATCAATTGATATTTGTTTTTATCATCTGTAAAAAAAAATTGTATTATTTATATTTTTGACTTGGCCTATATAATTACATCTGAAATCCACAATCTCTTTCATGAACTTTCTAATTTAAAGAAATTAAATATAATTTTTTCAGAAGTTATTCAAATATTACTGCTGCTCTACTGTTGAATTAATACTTACTCTGCTGGTTCATTTGACCTAGTTGCTTTGATGTATGCTGACTGATTTAAGAAGTTTTACTGTATTTTTTATTGAGAATAAAAAACGATTGACTAAATCTAGGTAAAAAGTGAAAACAGTTTCCGATTTGAGGGACATTTATCTATATATCTTTTAATTTTGATATATGTGGGCTTTATTTTTAAAGTATTGATCTTTAACGTTATTTGGGCATGTTTTACAGATAGAGGTAAAACAAACAAAAAAAAAAAAAATTGAAAAAACATAATAAAGCTGTAAACATTAAATAACAGACATATAGTACATTGCTGAATTTATTGATACAGTGCGTTGTTAAAATTATCATTAGCAGACTCAGCTCTGACACTAGCTGTTCTTCGTAATTGTGTTTGTTTAGCAAATGTGGATTAGATGGCATTAGCTTTGTGAAAAATATAAGAATCTGATTTTTCCACTGAAAATATATAAAAAGTATATAAATTATGTAATATTATATAAACTATATAGGTATAAAAATAATAAAATTACGTGGCTTACCTGTACTTTTTTGCTTTTTGGTTAGGCCTGAAACGTAATCACTTCACTCTTGTCAGATAAATCAATATCATTGTAACTATTTGTTCATCTCTTCATTAATAAATTCAAATGATTCCTGTTCAGAACATTTATGCACCATATCTTAACTTANTAAATAACAGACATATAGTACATTGCTGAATTTATTGATACAGTGCGTTGTTAAAATTATCATTAGCAGACTCAGCTCTGACACTAGCTGTTCTTCGTAATTGTGTTTGTTTAGCAAATGTGGATGAGATGGCATTAGCTTTGTGAAAAATATAAGAATCTGATTTTTTCACTGAAAATATATAAAAAGTATATAAATTATGTAATATTATATAAACTATATAGGTATAAAAATAATAAAATTACGTGGCTTACCTGTACTTTTTTGCTTTTTGGTTAGGCCTGAAACGTAATCACTTCACTCTTGTCAGATAAATCAATATCATTGTAACTATTTGTTCATCTCTTCATTAATAAATTCAAATGATTCCTGTTCAGAACATTTATGCACCATATCTTAACTTACATATACAAAATAAAACAACTTGAAATTAGCTTGAAAAACATGACGACAAACTCCAAATTGAATGATGCATGTGGCTCTAAGAAAAAAGCTTATATTTCAAATTTTTGTGATGATTGTGTTTTCTGTTAGTTAAGAGACAAACTAAAAAACACACAAAATTCATTTTTTTTATTGCTGAAAACATAATGTTACATTTTAAAGCTAGAAATAACTTGATATATTGAGAACCATAATTTTATGTCTACTTTTTTTTTTTTTTTAACCAAAGAATTCACGGAACATAATATTACATTTATAGCATGATAAGTGTTAAAGTTATTTTTATTATAATTCTTTCGGTTACTACAATATTATTTATACCATAAAAAGTTTTATTTACATTCTAATCCAGACTTTGCATTGTCTGACATTAGAATTTCAGATAGTGCTATTCAGGAGAGTGAGGAAGAACTTCTGCCATGACAATCTTGATATATATGGTTTGTGTTCTCATGAAGAAAGATCTTGTACACCTTTTCAATGTAGTTAAGTGACAAACTACAGTGGACTGGTCACAACCAATTCTTTTCTCATGTGGTTATAGGATTAATAGCATCCAATAGGACAGAAGGTCTTCTTGAGCATGGCTTATATTCAACTTCATATTACCAAGCTTTTAATTTACTGAACCAATCATAGATTATAGATGAGTTTTTTTCGCCAAACAAATTGCACCCCATGGTAAGATTCAGCTGCTGTTATACTAAATTGATAATCATAAACACACATGTGAATTTGGTCCTGAGAAAGCATTGGCAAACTTGACAAATTAAAAAAGTTTGTATTGCCATACAGATTCTTTTCATACACCACAAGAAATTTGTAGATGCTGTCTGTCAGAGAAAAATTTTTAACATTCTACACAATTTAAGAAAGTAACAAACTTTTGCATTAACCTAATAGTTTACTTTATATATTAATTTAATTTTTTTAGATTTTATTAATTTCTTTTTTTATATTCTTTTTTAGAAAATAATATTTTTGTAGTAATTACATTAAATTACTTGAATTGTCACATCCTCAGGTTTTAGACTAAAAGTATTTTGTTTTAAATTTAATATTTTCAGTACCACGAAACTGCTCTGAAAGTGAGTTTAGATGTGATAACGGACGGTGTATAAAAGCTTCTTGGCGATGTAATGGAGAATTTAATTGTGAGGATCGCACTGATGAATTACATTGCAGTTTCATATTTCAAAATATAATCATTAATAATTACATTTCTTGATTATTTTTCTTAAAAAAAATATAATTATTTTAAATTTTATTATTATATTTGATTTCATTAATAATTATATTTTGAAAAATATAATGATTAATGATTAACCAAATATTAGTTTGAAAAATATACTTAGACAATAAAAATATATACAATTTTAATTACATAAAAAGACCAGAAAAATATACACAAATGCTGATCTCATTTTGAAAATATATGAACTATTTGAAGTTCAAATATACAGTAGAGCATTGATTATCCTTCCTCCCAATTAACCGACCACGTTCTAGTCGGCAAATTCAAATGTCCGCTAGTAATGTGGCGCTACAATATTTGGCTATGTCTTGGCTACTTTAATATTATTTTTGTTAAATGTTTGCGTGTTTTAGCTGGCAACCCTGGCTCGACCATGAAAGGGAGGCCAGTATTTAAACGAGGCTTAATTTTTTAATTATGAGTGGTTGTTTGTTTTGTGAGCAATAAAATAATTTTTAAGGATACAATAGCGACAATTATTATTTTTAAAAAATTTGTTAGGTTTAACATCGATGAAAATTCAATGCGAAGTAGGTTAATAGTGATATACTAATATACTGATTACATGGGATATAATAATATATTACACTAATAATGGATTTTTTCATACTTTTCGGTTATCCGACTTTTCAATTATCTGACCAACCCCAGTCCCCAATTGAGTCGGATAATCGATGCTCTACAGTATTTTATTTAGTTAAATTTAAAAATATTTGTCATTTTGATGAACTATCTAGATTTTTATTAAAATGTGAAAACATCACGTGAATAATAATGTGTTGAACTAAAGAATAGTCAAGAGAAATAAAACCTTAATTTTGATTATCATCATTTTATCAAGCAGTCTATCAATTTTATGAAATGTGCATCATCATTTTTCCCAGTGGGTTGGAACAACCCCTTAGTTTGAAAGGACTGTTAACTGATTAATTTTGCATTCAAAAACATCAGTCAGACATAAAATTAATTTTAAATCCAGGAAGACTGCTGATTAGTCAAAAGAATTAATTTTATTCAAAATATTACCTTTATAATTCTAGACATAACTGAACCTTGTTAAGAATATCAAAGTATGGTCATATCCATTTGGTAAAAATTTTCTGTATCATCAAAAATAAATTTGGGGCTATATTGATTATTATTATTATTATTGTTTAGTTCTTGTCAAATTTAAAGGTAAATTCTTGAACAATGGAAAGATTACCCAGGTTATATGATGGTAGAAATCTGTACAGAAATGTGTTTTGAAAGGAGATGAGAGTTATCAAAATTAAAATGTAATGAGGCAAACTATATGTCAAAGTTTTCCTTTGTCTAAATATGCCTTTGTCTAAATGCCAATAAGCATGTATTTTGTAGTTTGAGAAAAATCCATATCTTGACTTTTGTTCTCTCTCATTCAATTCCTGTATATTTATTACAAACTTTACTTGAATTTTTATCTTCAAAACGGATAAAATTTTTCCTAAAAATTTATTGATATTAAGTTTGATAGAACTTCTAACTCTTTCAAACTGAAAATATGAATAGTAATTGTAAGGAGAGCAGGTGTTAACCAGTCTAAAAATTATGAATTTATTAAAATATTGATCAGATTGTTTGTTAATAAATCCTGTACAAACAAATATACTTTTTTCTTCTTATCCATGTCATTATAGCGTGGATAATAAGTAAAATTATGCACATATATCAATTTTAAGCAGCAACTCTCCATTCCCTGTCATTGAATTATTTTCTGAGTTTATTTCAACCTCTGTAATAATATATATATATTATTATTAAATATTGAAAGAGACAGATACTAGATTAGACCAGAGTTAAGACACTGCAGAACAAGCTATTCATGTGTTTACATATTTAAACACATACAATCATGAATGCACATCACAGTCAGGAAATTCTGTTATATGCCAGCCTTCTGTAGTGTGATGCAAGTGCTGTTGTGAAGCCTAATGTTTCTAGACAAGTCTAGAAACAATATGAAATAGTTTATATGAACTTCATAAAATAAATAAATGAAAAATGGAATATCCTAATTATATCCACGATGAAGTGTAATGGAAAAACATTTTGAGATGGTACCTTGTAAACAACCTACCAATAAATGCCTTTCTTTTAACAGGTACTCTGTAGTAATGGGTTATACAGTGAGACAGGTTAATATAATATATATACAGTGGAACCCTGTTAACGAACAAATCAGTTAACAAACTTTTATTTTGTAAAAATTTTGTCTCTGATAACGAACGTAACGGTTTTTTGTGTCAAATTTTAGTTGCTGTTAGGCATGCATGAGTTAAGCATTGCTTTTCCAAGTGTTTGTGCTAAACTTTTTTCAGTTTCGTGATTTATATATTTAATCAAGAAAGAGAGAAGTGATAGTGACAATAGAAAACGACAATGTGCTATTGCATTTGAGAAAAATTTTGATTAAAAGAGTAAGACAATCAACTTTAGATCAATTTCTTGTTCCTTACCAAAAGAGACCTCAACTCAAATCTCCCGATGAAGTGCTACCCATTTTTGTTTTGGAGGGGATCCCCCTTCTAAGCATTAAACTCTGTATATCTCTACTCCTCTGCCACCAACTACAACAAATGAAGGTATATGCAGTGCTATTTTATTAAATAAAGTTTACATGTTTGTTGCTGTAACGATAGATACTATGTTTTCCTATGTTTTCATCAAAGAAAATCTACTGTTTTTTACAAATAAAATCACAAAAATTTTGGAGGCTAAAATGGATAAATTGTATTTGCATTAATTTCTATGGGAAAAATTGCTTCAGTTAACGGAGTAGCAGAACAGATTAAGTTCATTAACCAGGGTTTCACGGTATATATACTAATTTATTTTTCTATAGATTACATATACAGCAGGTATCTCTCATATAGCACAGTAGTTACATTCCAGAAGTTAGCAAAAGTATACTATCCTTTTTCGTTACTAACAGAAATATACTTATTAAAGCAATTGCTAGTTAATAATTATGGAATGGAAATAACTTAACAACAACAATTAAAACTACTAAAAACTACTGTATTATGCATTAATATTAATTTTAATTAAATGAGGACATTTTCTTTTTACAAAGTATTGTTGTCATCTCAAGTTCTTTTGTTGTTCTTGATTAAAAGTATCAGAAATATTTTCATTTTTTTTTATTTTATCATAAAAAATATTAATAAAAAATTTGTTATAGCAGATCATGTTTGTTCAAGTATCAAGTGACTTTTTTCCAGAATTTGTTTAATAAAACTGTAGTTATCTTGGTATTCAAAGTTTAATAAACACTAAAAAAAAGTTTAAATAAACATGAAGATTAATCTATAAAAAGAAAACACAGCGACAGTCTTAAGAGCTAAAGTCTGAAAGCAATGATACATGGTTGATAGGACTGATAGGATAAGGAAGAAAAAAATTTGCACTATCAGTTTTCATTAAGATAAATCTGAAGAAAAGCACAAAATAATTTGAAAATTTCAATATTCTAAAATCTGTGTGGCAAATTTGAGAACATGCGTGCTTACTTGTCATTATTCAATATTTTTTAAAATTTGTTTACACTTAAAAATTGTGAAATTTTGTATGGAGAATTTCCAAAACTGTGTTAGAGCAAAACTGGAAGTCATGTTTTGTGAAAGATACCTGTACTGTAATTTTGTGCATTATATATATAATCTGAAATTATCAAAAGTTAACTTTATAACATTCTCAACAGTGATTTGATTTGAAATTGAATAATCTATCTATATTGGAGTTATTGACAATGTTGCCAATTTGGGTCGTTACTGTTAGAATGACATGAATATTGGACAGCTGTGACAGCATTTTAGAATGATGACAAGATTAGAAAAATAGTCTTTTGTTAGGACATACAATAGGAAATGGCATTAATGGTAAATATTAACACATTTGGAAGACTCCACTAGGAGAAAACATTATGGACTTGTCTAGTTGAGACATCACTCTCTTCCATCACATTAGATTACATATAATATGCTGTAGACATTCAACAAGAGGTTCTCCATCATCTCATATCTTATACAATTCAGATCTGGACTTTAACATTTTTTGTTACTTGAAAGAACATGCAGTTGTTTTCTGCTGAAATGAAGCTGTCACCACTGTATAACTTAGTAACAGGGATAGGAATATTTTGAGGATGAGATGAACAAACTTGCTATATATGGAGGCGAATAGGTAATTGATTTTGTCGAGAAATATAGGATTTATCTGCAAGCATTATTATTGTGGAATTTGAAACATTGCAAAGTATTAATCTGCGAATTATTGGTTTTATAAAGTTTCTTTGTATATATATAAGATAGAATAAGAATAGGTGATAAGAACATGACGTCAAAGTGAATTTTGTAATATGTTATTAGCAGATCTTGAAAACTATTTATGAATGTTGTTGTTAATTATAAATTAATGCACTTTAGCCTGATAATTCAAATACTGATAAGCAGTTTGCCTATATCCAATTTGTCCATAACTGAAGTAAAGAATGTAAAACAAATAAATATTTGCATTTACCAAATGGGGTATTTGTTTATTTTTCATCTTTACTTCAATCAAGCAGTTCATATTTATTTGTATTGATTTCCAATACAAATAATATAATTAGATATATAATTATGTTTTTTATTGTAAATATAGATTCTGTATAGGTAAAATCATCAGTAATATTTTTATTTATAAATTTTTAAAATAGGTCAAAACTATAAATTTAAAAAAGTGTTACAGTTCATCTGTATTTTTATCTGATATTTTAGACATCACATGTAAACCAAATGAATTCCGTTGTAACTCGACTAACTTTTGCATCTTAAAAGAATGGAAATGTGATGGCGATACAGATTGTGCTGATGGATCTGATGAAGAATGTGGTAAAAATTTTTTCATATATAAATAATGTTACACTTTTTACAAATGTGCTTCATAAAAATGTAATTTTATTTTAGATCATTCATGCCCCTTAAACGAATTTACTTGTAAAAATGGACAGTGTATTTCTTTCATCTGGAGGTGCGATGGAGAAAATGATTGTGGAGATGGATCAGATGAAGAATCTTCATTGTGCAGTTAGTTATTTTCTGTTTCATTTTTCATTTATTTGAAGTAAAATATAATACAATACATACACAATTTTTATGAACCAATCATTGTTTTAGATAACAGTAGATAAATTGATAAAAGTGTGTTTTATAATTAAAATTTAAATAAAATGTTGTATTATTTTATCTAATGACAAAATAATTGCTATGTAAAGAATGTAAAAGTGCTAAATGGCTCATAATATTATATAAACCAATTAATTTATATTATACACACATATATAATGAATTTTTACTAACATGTTAAAATATTCTACAATATTAAATGTGTTATACATATATAGTAAATTTAGTAGTAGTTTATGTAGATGTGTATTTACTTTAATTCAGTTGAGAAATTTATTTATTATGTAAAAATAATTTTTCAATTACTTAAAAATTATGAAATAATTTTACTTATTTAATTTTTTAGGTAGATTATCTTGTCCTCCTGGTAAATTTCGTTGTAAAAATAATGTATGTCTTCCTCAGTCCAAACTTTGTGATGGTAAAGATAATTGTGGAGACAACTCTGACGAAGATGAAAAATTTTGTGAGTATTTAAGACTACTTTATTGCTATATCCTAATCTAATACAAAGCTGAAATAAAATAAAATAAAATAATTCAGGTTTTTTCTACATAATCATAATTAAAAATATTGCATTTCTCTAAAGATAAAATTAGTTTTATGAATTATGAAACAAGTAACCAGGATGTTGTCAAATAGAATATAATATGTACTCCTTATGTTGCTAAGAGAAAGATTGAAAGAATCAAAAATGATCCGGCAAAAGAAAGATAGAATGTGATCTTGGTGGAAATTTTAATGACTAATAAAAGTTACAGCATGTTCGTGGTCTTTATTCACATTAGCTAAGATTGATCTATGACAGCTTACAATGTTTCAACTACATTTTATATTTTAGTTTTTGATATGTTTGGAGAATATCATACACTGTACCATAAATAAGTTTGTAAAAATTTGGCTTTTTTTTTTTTTTATTGCACTTTCTTAATTGATCACAGTGACACTTATGCTACTGGCTCATCTGTCAATACAGACTATTGTGCAGTATGTATGTAACCTTTAAATTTCAATATATCCAAAATTATTCATTTTTCAATTCTTTTTTGAGTGACACCTAAAACATCTTTTACAACCGTTCACTCTGTAGTTAGAGCATTACACACTACATGTCAAGTGTGCACATGGACTTTGCTTTTCCCCATTTTGCCTTTTTTGACATGAACAAATCATTTTTAGAAGAGACATGATCTTTCCATAAGGGTTTGTACTATAAAAAAAATAAATGATTTGGAAACAGAGGTGGGTGTTAAAATCCTGTACGACACAGCTTTAGAGTATCATCCTTATGAAATATTTCAAAAAGGTAACAATGCTACAACAAATATGCATTATCAAATTTTAAGATGTGTGTATATGTCATTTTTTGGATAGATTTATATTATTCAAGTTAAAATTAAATCAATTTTATAGTTATCTTAGTGTCAGAAAACCATCCTATGTGCAGCAAATTGTCAGATACATTCTGTTTGAATTTACTGAAATAAAGAATAAATTCTGAATCTTTAAATTATTATAATGATGACATTTCGTCTCAAATCTTAGACCAAAATTTTAGTCATTCTCATTGATTAAAGATGAAATCATTTTTTATTAAGAAAATATTATTATTATTACCTAGTATTTTAGTAATATATTTGTTGTATAATCAATAATTATTATTTGAGTACAGTAAATTTTCAAAAGAAATCTTAAGAAAATTATTTAATTATTCTATATTTTCATTTGAAATTTAAACTCCATTTATCAGAGAAAAATTTAAGTTATTCAATAAATAGAACAAAAATTTAATATTAATAAAAGCAATTTATAACAATAACATTGAACACTTTAAGACTTATATTAATTATTCACTGCATCAATTAAATATAATTTTAATATAAATATTTAAGTAAAATAATTGTGTGTTGTTTTTTAGGTGCTATGCGCAATCATTGTGGTGGGAAAAAATTTAGCTGTGCCAATGGCGTTTGTATTGACTCTTCATTTCAGTGTGATCAATTTGATGACTGTGGAGACAATTCTGATGAAAAAGATTGTGGTAATTGCATTTTTATAAATTAAAAATACAGAAACTTTCTCTCTTCTGTTGCTCAAATACACAGAAATCCATTAAAAGAATTTTCTTCTGTTGATTAGTAAAATTAGTAATGCTGTTACAGGTCAGCACTAAGAGTTGTATCAATATTCTGTGATTGTGCAAACTGGCCATTCTCAAAGAGTATCTAATGAATACATCTCTAATTTTTGTTCAGTTTCTGCAACTGTTTCTTGATCATTTCAACAATTTGGAAAAAGTTTTAGTTCTCAGCTGTTAAAGTAGGAGAAAGAGTCAAAATTTGACTGACTACACTATTGGTTTTTGCATTTCCTGATGTTTTAAAATAACACATGAACAAAATTCTCTCTCTCTCTCTGTGTGTGTTGGCCTGTTCTTTGTTTTATATATCAAAACTCTATGAACAAAAAATTTTGAAATTTGGCAGGAATACTTCTGTTTGTGTGGTGCATTCATAAAATTATATTTTGGTGTGAAGGTCCGAAACCCTTTTTCTGGTTTAGATCAGTAGATCTAGGAATTTTTCTAGTAAAAGAGAAAAGGGGGACTTCTACGGTCAATGACCGAGACGCTCTCCTCGAATAAAGAAAAAAAAAGGAGAATGTTAAACTATCAATAAGTTAAATCATCTCTATTTGTTTAACAGTTATTCTCTAGACGTTAGTATCAACAAGAAGGGAATAAGAGATATTTCTTATCACCTCTTGGTTGCACGTAACACGTGGTTATGTCAATAAATCGCCTTGTTCGTAGTCAAACTCGACGTTTGATATAAACAATAACTAAATAGTTGACCAGGTTAAAGAAATTATTGTCAAATGATTGTTAATTTATGGATGAGAGCCATCAAACCTACAGAAATTTATAACATAAAATCATGTCATCTTGACACCAATATCAATAAATTGAACAAATTTCTCTGTCAATTGTCCGAACTCGCTAGATCCAAATATCAACACACTAGCAGGTGTGCGGATAAATCATGAATAACGTCATAGTTCTCACCCCCTTGAAATCAGTATAAAGAGGGCTCCCGGCCAGTATCGGTGTGGCCTCCAACTTAGAAGGAACTAACGGATTAACGATCCTCATCGCTGACCACCAAAGACGGACACAGATAGATCCTACGAACTACAACTTAGTAAGTAGAACTCTCTCTTTCCTCTCAGGTGGATTAGGGCTAATTCCGCGAAAAGAATATTAAAGAGGATCAGAGACTATCCTCAGTCGAAATACCAAAGATATAATCCGACTAACCTACTATTGTAATATCGATTTGATTTTGACATTATTATTATTCTTAGTATTTGTAACCCTTTTATATGGTATATACTAATTAAATTTATATTATATCTTAATCATGCGTGTTTACTCGTACTCTGTCAACACCTTATCGACTTATCCGCGACCTCCCACTCGATTTTCGCCCTCCTAAATTGCCATCCACTGACCCTGTGAGCGGGACTCACCGCCCCGATGTCGGAAAACGGTTCAAGCTTTGATGCTTAAACCCCGATTCTCACATATTGGTGTCAGGAGTGGGGTTATTATACGATAAGGCTAAACGGCTATAGTACGAGTCTTCACAAATAGAATAAGAAATTAGGCGGAATGGAAAACGAAACCCCTCGTGCGACTTCGGCGGGTAACCCAATGGCCTTAGGAGGCATTGGCGGAATGATTCCACTACTGCCGGTATTTACGGGTGATCCAGATGGTACCCGAATAACGGATTTTTTCGAATCGCTCGCGGATATAACAAAGATAGCGGGTTGGTCGAAAGCTCAAATGCTTGCGATCGCTAAATTAAAACTTGCAGGTTTAGCGCGGGAATTCGTGCGGAAAGACAGACGGATAAAAGATGTAGGAGATTATGATACGTTCAAAAAGATAATGATTAAGAGGTTTGGACAGATCCCTTATACACTTAGACTTAATAAATTTTATGCATGTGTACAGAAAAGGGACGAAGATGTACAGACGTACGCGATGCGATTGCAATCACTAGCCACGGAAATTGAAATAGAACAGGTAGGTGCCAATGCAACTGAAACAGCCATAATTCGGAGAGTTCAAGACCGAGAACTTGATGAGAGGTTGAAAGCTCAATTTTTATATGGACTAGAAGTAAAAATAAGGCAGAGAACCATGTCGCGTGAACCAACCTCGTTCGATGAAGCGTTACAAGCAGCAATCAGTGAGGAGATGATAGAAAAGGTCACAGCCCACCCACGCGGAGTGATGCGTACGGTCAAGGAGGCTTCCGATCCACCAACGGACTCTCGGGATAACTGGGAAAAATTAACTACGGCAATCGACGAACTTAAAGTAAGAATGGACGGAATGACGAAAAATCTAGCTTTAAATAACGGAAATAAACGTAGCTATGAGCGCGATAGACGGGATTTCGAACCGAACGCGAATTTCCGGCGAAGCGAACGACGTCCGACATCACCTGGTCGGCAAGCAAATAGGCCATCTGCTCCGCTCAATCGAAGTCAGAATTTTCCTCCACGACAGAGGACTGACAGGAACGAACGGCCGTCCCAACCAAGAAACAACCTCCCAAACGGGCGAAGAAGAGAAATGGATCAAAATAGAGTTCGTTTTAGTCGTCCAGAACCAGAAGAAAACCGAAACCGATGGAGAGGTAATGTTAGGAGCGTAGAGGGTCGACGAATTCGATATAAACGCCGAAAAAACTATACTCTCCCTTATTATACAAAGAAAGAGAGACTCAGACCGTATCCCGAACTTTATCGCCAAACAAACAAAGTTCAACGGTGCCGAAAACTGCTATATTCACCTATAGGAGTAAACAAAAATATGCCGATGCATAGTGAAGCGACGTTTTCGTGTTATATAGAAGGGATTCCCGCCACCATACAAGTAGACACAGGAGCAAAGGTGTCACTTCTATCTAAAACATTTGCGGAGAAAATAAGAGAAGAAGTCGATATCAATTATAATAAATATACGGATCTACGAAGCGCAACCGGACATCGTATAAAAACGTATGGTATTATGAATCCTATTTTCCAGATCGGGGACTTGCGATTTCCATTTGCATGTTGTCTCGTGGATGCAGACGTCACATACCCATGTGACGGTATAATCGGTAGGGACATGATCTTAGAAAAGGGATGTCTCCTAGACTTTCGAAATGGGATGATGACTATTCCCCCTCAAACTATAGTACCTTTCCTTGATAAAGATAGGTTTACAAGCAACAGCGAGAATGAATTAATTTCCCCGGAAGGAAAGATACGCGCGACAAAACAAAACAACCGAAAGAGAAACAGATCAGTAGGTCAACCCACAGAGGCAGTTCCCCCTCTCTGTAACGAGACCCAAAACAAAAAGCGTCCAAAGTTACGGTCAGATAAGGCGACAGAAGAAAGCGAAGTTATTTTAATAGAAACATGTAGATTACCTCCCAGGGCTGAAAGTATAGTTACTGCCAAAATTGCGGGAGCTAATAGAAATATTAGGATAGGAGTAATAGAAACCGTTCCGTTAGAACAGGAAGGAGTTTCGGGAGTCGATCTTTTAGTTTCTCCCAATAAAAAGGGACAAGTTCCCGTCAGACTCTGTAATACTACTCATAAAACAGTTAAATTAAATAAGGGCACAAAAGTAGGTGCATTTCTAGAAGCTGTCGAAGAAGACACACCTCCTAAAAATATTAAGAAAGGAGCGACAGCTGAATTATCCAAAAAGGAGTTTAGTCAACTTTTCGATTGGACAGGAATTAATACAAACGAAAAGAAAGCACTAGAGACATTATTATATAAGTATAGACATGTTTTTGCGCTTAATGATTACGATTTAGGGTATTGCGATATAGTGCAACATGAGATTAACACTGGTGATGCAGCGCCCATATACTCCCCACCATATAGAATCCCTTATGCGCAGAGGCAGCAGCTGAATGAGATAATTGATGGATTGTTAGAACACAACATCATAGAGCACTCGACTTCCCCTTGGAGTTCGGCTGCTTTGTTAGTAAAGAAGAAATGTGGGGGCCAAAGACTCGTTGTGGACTATAGGAAGTTAAATAAGATAACTAAGGTCGATCCATATCCACTTCCTTTAGTGCAGGAGTCTCTTAGTTTAATGGGAGAAGCGAAATATTTCTCCACCATGGATACACTTTCGGGTTACTGGCAATTAAGCGTAGGTGATAAAGAGAAGACTGCCTTTTCTACCCCTGATGGACATTATCAGTGGAATAGAATGCCTATGGGTCTTTGTACCTCAGCTGCGGTTTTTGCGAGAACGATGGACTTCGTTTTACATGGACTTAAAGGTAAAACATGCCTAGTTTACATGGATGATATTCTAACGTTCAGTCCAGACTTTTCCAGTCACCTCCAACGCTTAGAACAAGTATTTAAGCGACTAGCTAATGCAGGTATTAAGTTAAAACCAAAAAAATGTCACTTTTTACAACACCAAATAAAATTTTTAGGCCACGAAATCTCCGCGGAAGGCATAAAACCAGATCCAGACAAAATCCAATGCGTTCTAGATTTTCCCAAACCTATAAATGAGCGAGAGATCAGAGCTTTCTTAGGACTGACAGGTTACTATAGGAGACACGTAGACTCATATGCAAAAATTGCCAAGCCTCTCACAGATCTGTTAAAAAAGGATTCAACCTTCGAATGGGGTCAGAAGCAACAAGAAAGTTTCGACGAATTAAAGAGAATTATCACTTCTGCTCCTCTATTAAAATCACCAGACTTTTCGAAACCGTTTATATTGGCAACTGATGCATCGAATTCAGCTCTAGGGGCAGTGTTATCACAAGAGGAAAACGGAAGGGAAAAACCGATCGCTTACGCAAGTCGTTTATTAAGAAAACCCGAATTAAATTATAGCACGACAGAAAAAGAATGTCTAGCTACAGTATGGGCTGTACGATACTTTAAGCCTTATTTGTATGGCCGAAAATTTACTATAATTACAGATCATCGACCACTCAGATGGTTAATTAATAGTAAGGACTCAACTACAAACTCTAGATTGGCTAGATGGATTATCTTCCTCCAAGAGTTCGACTTCGAGGTTATTCATAAAGCTGGAAACGCGCATCTCAACGCAGACGCATTAAGTCGCATTCCAATTAGACAAATAAACGAAGTAGAACCAATTTTTACGACGGTGCAGATAGGTAAACTACAACAACGAGATGTGCGATGGAAATCTGTTATCCAAGCGATAAAAGATGGAAACACCTCAGGAAAATATAACAATTTAGAACTGGACGAATTTTATTTAAACGAAGAAGACGTTTTGTGTCATAAAGGAGTAAATAGACAACGAACAAATTTGTGGGAACAAATAGTTATACCTGCTAGTCTGAAGGAATACATTATGTATACCTTTCATGACAATCCAATTGCCGGACACTTAGGAGAGATGAAGATGCAAGGCAAAATAGAAAAACTGTTTTATTGGCCAGAAATGAAAAAGGAGATAAAAAGTTATTGTCAAA